TTGGGTGAATTCTGCTGGTCCCAGACCCAGATAAAGGATGTCTGTTGGAAATATGATACAGAGAAATAGAATCGATGGAAGATAATATATCTGTAGTTCTAAACATATTTACTGAACTGTTTTATCTATTTTATACTTGTTTCACAACAAATGACGTTCAGGTCGTTGCTGTTTGCACTTAATGTGTGCAAAATGTCCCAGAGTTATGATTCCAGTAAAAGCAGTTCCTGTCGTGAATCTAATGATCAGAAGCATTCAATGTTTGTGTCTGTTTTTTTGCCGGGGGGGGGGGGGGGGGGTTTAATTTCTAATGTAAACAGAATTCATGTAAAGATATTGATGAGGCAGGCCTCTGATCATGACAATTCAACAGCAGCCTGTAGAAGAAAACAATTCAGTCTGATTATAGTTTTTCAGTTTATTTATAACAAAAACTAACAGAACTATAAACGAGCCCGGGTACTGCACATATAAACATATTCAGTTAAAATAATCTAATAATAACGGTCAGTTGGACCAATATTGAGGACTCTTCAGTGCAGGTGGGGGGCTCATCCTGACCTCCACACTAGAGCAGGCGCTGTTGTGCAGGAGGTGTTGTTTTCAACCGCTTTGTTAGATTATTTAAAGATTAAAACCCATTGTAGGCTATAATATCCACTCTTTATAATAATGTGCTGAGACACTAAGTGAAAACTGGCTGTTTAAGATCATTTTTCTCAAAATACAACCATTTTAAGCCTTCAGCATGATCCCTCCTCACCAGCAGCTCCCGCAGCTCTTAAGGAAGAAGCGGGTAAAGATGATGGATGGTTTTCAGCTGCAGTTAAGGTTTGTGGGGAAGGGGATGAAGCTGCAGTTTGAGTTTTACCATCCCTTCAGCGTAAACTTTCTTTTTTATCGACTATCCCAGAAAGCACTAAAGAGTTCTTTAATGGACATAAAACTTTAGATCTAAGATCTAAAGAACGTTAGATGTCTGTTGCAGGTCCAAAACAGTGGAATGAGTTACTGCATGTCAGTCAGGCCCCCCTCCCTCTCTGTTTTTAAGTCTAATTTAGAAACTCACTTTTATTCCCTGGCTTTTGACACTGTGTGAGTTGATTTTAACTTCTCTGTATTTTGTTAGTCATTTAGTTCTTATCTTTACGTCTGTGGATCTTTGTATTTTATCCTGTGATCTTTGCTTGCTTGTTTCTGCTCTACAGCACTTTGGTCGGCCTTGTTGCTGTTTAAAGTGCTTTATAAATAAAGTATGGTATGGTCACGACTTAATTTGTAAACTGATCGACGCCGGAATGCAAAAAGTGGGTGTGCCGGTGGGGAGGGGACTGGTGGGGGGTGGAGGAGGGGGTGCGCAGGGGAAATGGAAGGAGCTTGCATGTCCTCCTTCCTCTTACATTTTTGAATAAAGTAGATGTGATTTCCTGCATTTTGGTGTAGCCTAACGGGTTGTTAAACATCTATGTTTACCTTCATTTGTAATAACTTGATTAAATTATTATTTTAGAGAGCAACAACAGGTTGTGTGAGAGCAGCTCCAATTCTGTCAAACGTCATACCCCCCCCCCCCCCCACACACACACACACACACACACACACTTCATGTTTCTGAGTTACTCTTCTCCTCTGATTTCATTCCTGCGTTGTTGCTCCTGTTGCTCCAACCTCAATTACGACTGCCTTCTCGGTTGTCCAAGACAATTCCTCCATCCATCCGTCCATCCATCCATTTATTTCATGAAAGTAAATTGGACTGTCTTTTCAACATTTTGATCGCTGTTATGTTGACAAATTATCGCCGTTGTTTTGCTAGGTGATTAATGTGAATAATACACATCAAACATTTCTCTCATATTTTTTTTACAGTAAGCTTTTTTATTTATTATGTCTGAAACGTTTGCGTGAGTTCACATCTGCTGTTGTGCGCGCTCTGTAGAGCTGTCTGGAGACGCTGCTATGCGTAATGTATGGCAAGCCAAATGGCCCATTAATAGCCACTTTTACCACATGTCTGGCTATTAATGGGCCACTTGGCTTGTCACATCGATGACAGACTGGGCAACGTCTCCTCTCATTGTATTTTTAATGAATAATCAAAATTAAACTGCGCAATAACTTTGGACTTTTAGGGGTGGAGATTTGATTTGCTGGATCTGAGCAAATAGTTGCCGGAATGCAGCCGGTCAAAATGAGAGAGCTCCCGGATCTTGTTCTGGCAGGATCCGGCTCAAATTAAGCACTGGGTATGGTATAAAAATGGGTGTCAGTGTAAATGACTTAAGGTCAAAGTTCAACTGGCCACTATGGAGCACAGGCCAGATGATCTCTGGTTCTGGTTCCAAACCCGGGTAATTGTTGAGGGTTATGTCAGAAAGGGCATTCGATATAAAACACTTTTTTAAAACTAACATGGGAGTTCATCTAAATGACACCAAACAACACAGCAGCTGTCTTTAACTGGTTCCAGTGATGCAGTAAATCATCTCATTCTTGTCTTAACTGATCAGAACCAGTCTGAAACAGTTTGAACCGGTCAGAACCTGTCTGAACCATTCTGAATGGACCAGTATGAACCAGTCTGAATGGACCAGCATGAACCAGTATGAACTGGACAGAACTGTCTGAACCAGTCAGAATGATCGAGCCCATCTGGACCAGTATGAACCAGTCTAAACCGGTCAGAACCTGTCTGGACTAGTCTGACTATGAACCAGTCTAAACCAGTCTGAACATGTCTGAACATGTCTGAATTGTTCGAGGCCCATCTGAACTACTTTGAACCAGTCTAAACCAGTCAGGACCGTCTGAACCTGTCTGAACAGTCTGGATCCCATCTGAAGCAGTATGAAGCAGTATGAACCAGTCTGAACCGGTAAGAACTAGTCAGAACCAGTTTGGACCACTTTGAGCTAGTCTGACCAATTAAAATCAATCTACATCAGTCTAAACTTGTCTAAACAACCTGTTAACCAGGCTGAAGTACTTTGACCTGTCAGGACCAATCTGAACCAGTCTGACCCAGTCTGAACTGGTCAGAACTAGTTTGACCCAGTTTGACCCGGTCTGAACCAGTCCATCCTTTCCTAACAGCCTCAGGTCTGTGATCTCAGTACCATAACTGTTTCCGGTCCGTAACTACGGTTCTGTTTGTGTGAAGTCATTAAACAGCAGAGAGCCACAGAGCAGAGGTGAAATATTTCCCATCAGGCCTTGCTCCAGGGCGCAGTGATGTCACAGCAGATAATCTCTGTGTGACAGACGAGGCAGAGACACAAAGAGCGGGTTGGTTCTGACGAGGACGCTCTGACGGCTGCAGCTTATTGGACCACAGGCAGTTTGAGCTTATCAGCTGAGGCCAGGCGTATTTGTTTCCCATGATCCTCGGCGGCTGCCTCCACACCTCAACATGTCTGTCCTTAAATATCATTTAATCTATGACACGAGATGCGATGTGTGTTTTGTTGATTTTATTTTGTGACAAGAAACAAACAAAAATGACCAAGTGTTTGTGTTTCTGATGTTTACAGACTCACAACAAACAAAACAGTCAACAGCTGGAATAAACAAAAAGTCTCCTTGTCTACTGTAGACGATACCTGTAACCATGGCAACCACCAGGGAACTTGTTTGTTTGATGTTTCTCCAGACTGTTTGTGTATTTGTTCGTTTATGGGTGCTGAAATTAAATGGATCTATGTTCGTCAAATAAAAACAACTTTTATTTATTTTACTTAATTATGGAATCGAAAAAATTTGAATTAAAAATCAACTGTCAAGTTGCGATGTCAGCTGGTGTGATTTAGTTCTGATCTCAGGCGTTCTAGTTTTAGGTGTTTTAGTTTCAGGTGTTGTAGTCTCAGGTGTTCTGGTCTCAGGTATTCTAGTCTCAGTTGTTCTAGTCTCAGGTGTTTTAGTCTCAGGTGTTTTAGTCTCAGGTGTTTTAGTCTCAGGTGTTTTAGTCTCAGGTGTTCTTGTCTTAGGTGTTCTAGTCTCAGGTGTTCTAGTCTCAGGTGTTCTAGTCTCAGGTGTTTTAGTCTCAGGTGTTCTAGTCTCAGGTATTCTAGTCTCAGTTGTTCTAGTCTCAGGTGTTTTAGTCTCAGGTATTTTAGTCTCAGGTGTTTTAGTCAGGTGTTCTAGTCTCAGGTGTTCTAGTTTTAATTGGTTTTGTCTCAGGTGTTCTAGTCTCAGGTGTTTTAGTCTCAGGTGTTTTAGTATCAGGTGTTCTAGTCTCAGGTGTTCTAGTCTTAGTTGTTTTAGTCTCAAGTTTTCTAATCTCAGTTGTTCTTGTCTCAGGTGTTCTAATCTCAGGTGTTCTAGTCTCAGGTTTCCTAGTCTCATGTGTTTTATTCTCAGGTGTTCTAGTCTCTGGTGTTTTATTCTCAAGTGTTCTAGTCTCAGGTATTCTAGTCTCAGGTGTTCTAGTCTCAAGCTTTCTAGTCTCTCTTGTCTCAGGTGTTCTAATCTCAGGTGTTCTTGTCTCAGGTATTCTTGTCTCTGGTGTTTTAGTCTCGGGTGTTTTAGTCTCAAGTGTTCTAGTCTGAGTTGTTTTTGTCTCTGGTATTCTAATCTAAGATGTTCTAGTCTCAGATTTTCTAGTCTCAGTTGTTCTTGTCTCAGGTGTTTTAGTCTCAGTTGTTTTAGTCTCAAGTGTTCTAGTCTCAGGTGTTTTAGTCTCAGGTTTTCTAGTCTCGTTTTTCTTGTTTCAGGTGTTCTAATCTCAGGTGTCTTGTCTCAGGTATTCTAGTCTAAGGTGTTTTAGTCTCAGGTATTCTAGTCTAAGGTGTTTTAGTCTCAGGTATTCTAGTCTCAGGTGTTTTAGTTTCAGGTTTTGTAGTCTCAGGTTTTTTGGTCTCAGTTGTTCTTGTCTCAGGTGTTCAAAGCTTTTGTCCCTCTAATTTCAGTTGTTCTTGTCTCAGGTGTTTTTTAAGTCTCAGGTCTTATAGTCTCAGATCTTCTCGTCTCAGGTGATTCATCATCTTCATCCTTTGTGTCTGCAGGCTAAAGACAGCGATGATGATGAGGAGGTGGTGCAAGTCGACAGGGACCACTTTATGGACGAGTTCTTCGAACAGGTGAGACATATTCACAAACACACATGCCTGTTCAAACACACACATCTTTTTAATAGCTGTGTTGTGTGTCTGATGATGGTTGTGGGTCTGTGGATCTTTGTGGGTCTATGGATGGTTATGGGTCTGTGGATTGTTGTGGGTCTTTGGATCCTTGTAGGCCTGTGGATGGTTATGGGTCTGTGGATCTTTGTGGGTCTGTGGATCTTCATGGGTCTAGGTCCAGGTGTTGACCCCCTGTCTCTGTGGACCTCCTGTTTTCAGGTGGAGGAGATCAGAGGCTGTATAGAGAAGCTGTCGGAGGATGTGGAGCAGGTCAAGAAACAGCACAGTGCCATCCTGGCTGCCCCGAACCCTGACGAAAGTAAGAATTCAGCACGACAACAGAACCAAACACTCGAGTGGACCCTTGAGTCATTTTACAAACATTCGGGTCGACCCTTGAGTCATTTTACAAACATCTCAGACAAGTTGACTTACAACCAACACAAAGTGACTCGGTTCATAGAAAACAGAAGAACGTTGGGTCTGTTTGGGTTCTGCAGTCTAATGTCAGCTCAGTCTGTCACTCAGGTGACTCACCTGCATTCTCTCCTCAGTCTGGTTTCCATGGAAACACTCATCATACAGGGGTTTGATCCCTGAGCTTTTGATTGACAGCTCACCGAGCATTTAGGAGCTTCCATTTTGTGTCCTTCAGAAAAACTTATAGAAGACTGGTTCAGGACTGAGTCAGTCATCAGGACACGGTTCTGATCAGGTTTTCTAACTTCAGTCATCTGTTCTCAGAAAACCTTGAGAGGTTTTGGTTCAAACATCTGGAACGTTTGGACTGAACCGGTCGATACGCCGGTCTCAGCACTGTTTCTGTTGATGTAGGTCCAGTAGAGAGCAGTTCGTCAGAATCTCGGATCATAAGTTCAGGTCCATAGGTTCAGATTCATAGGTTCAGGTCCACAATTTTTTTTCCTACTCTGGCTCTTGCTCAAGGTGGACGCTCCTGCTCTCCCTCCCCCTGTTCTCCTCTTCCTCCTGCTTTGCGCTCTGTGTGTTTTGAAGCTCCTGGTACATATCTCCTGAATGAGAAATATGATTATGGACCAGGTGAGCTGGATTTTCAACACAATCGACAAAATCTTTTCAACAAAACGACAGGGTCCTGGAGAACCCTCTTGTCCAGCTGAGACTCACACTGCGGGGTATGTCAGAGATCCATGGGGAATTCAGCAGCTGATGTGCCTCTCAGTTCTGTCTCAGGAAGACGCTGAAGACTTTTACATACTGTATTTGTATTTATGATAGCAGGGGTTCTGTTCTTTGGTATTGGCGGGGCTCTGTTTTATCAAATTTTGAAGAAGACTTCGGCAGTCAGTATGAAGGTGTGGTTCAAAATATGAGGACTCAAAATCAGCTGATTTACAAGCTAAACCGTAAGATGGTAGCAATTTGTGAGAATCACAGGCCACCTGCGGCTTCTAGGACTCGTCAGCATGTTGGGATCGACCTTGAAGAAGGCTCATAACACAAATCAGTGGAGCAGAATACCCATAAATTTGGCCAATTTGGAGCAGAAAGTTCCAGCAGGACTCAAGGCTGACAAGAAAAAACAGTCTGCCTGAAGAAAAATCAACAATTGTGGCTTATCTGAATCTGACTCCCTCATTTGGCTCGGATACGAGCTGACTATCAAATTTTTCCTGGGACATGGGTAACTAAGGACAAAAGCTTTGTCTATCGCACCCCCACCCTGAGAACTTCTGTGCAGGCTTATCAGAACTGCCAGCTGAAACAACATTATCAGAACTATGGTCTGAAAGTGCTCATGGACAAATCTCAACACCTTGACATCAAATGCATATGTAATCATGTTCATAAATGTGCTTGCTGGTAGATTTTTTTTTTGATGTCTCAAATTGTGTCCTGATAGAGCACGATGTGAAGATATCTTTTTTGCAATACCACTATCCATCTTCATGGTTCCTACCCTTTTTCTATCTAAAAGTATTCTGATAAAGAATTAGGGGCCGCACATTTTAGCAGCAGCAACGTGCACTCTGCCCATCTTTCGAATGACTGTACAAACATAATCTCACTATACAATTCATTCAACGTTTATTTAGACAGATAAGTCACATTGAGCCTAGAATACTCATTTACAAGGGAGATATGTTTAGACACAAAAAGTAGTGAAAATGGACACGTGTAGGAATTGGAGGCGAAAAAAATCCTATCAGACTTTTTCTCCTTGGCTGAGAAGCAAAACTCTAATAAACAATGATAATAAAGCTTATTCTGATTCTAATTCTGATAAGTTCAGGTCCATAAGTTAAGGTCCATAAGTGCAGGTCCATAAGTTCATGTCCATAAGTTTGTGTCATTAAGTTCAGGTCTATAGGTTCAGATCCATAAGTTCAGGTCCATAAGTCCATGTCCATAAGTCCAGGTCCATAGGTTCAAGTCCATAAGTCCAGGTCCATAGGTTCAGAGCCATAAATTCAGGTCCATAAGGCCAGGTGCATAAGTCCAGGTCTCTAGGTTCAGGTCCATAAGTCCAGGTGTTTGTGATCTTCAGCAGCTCAACTCGGAGCCTCGCAGTAAAGTCTCATCCCGTTAACTGCATCTTGATGAGCTCTGCGGCTCCAGGTCAGAAACTTTGAGGAGCTTGGTGGCAGAATGCCACTGAACAACACCACCTGTCACTCCGCTGGTCTTCCTGACTCCTGAAGACATTGAAGCATTTTTGATTTGAGAGCACAAGGCTCGGGCTGCAGCACGTTCACCATGACCTTGACTCTAAATGACTCAGCAATAATGAGTCGATGATACCGCTGAGGCTCAGTACTGAGACCCAGTACTGAGGCCCGATACTGAGGTCTGGTACTGAGGCCCGGTACTGAGGTCCATAGCTGAAGTCCAGTACTGAGGCACAGAGATGATGGCCAGTACTGAGGCCCAGTACTAAGGTCCAGAGCTGAGGTTCGGTACTGAAGCACGGAGCTGAGGTCCGGAACTGAGGCCCAGTACTGAGGTCCGGTACTGAGACCCAGAGCTGAGGTCCAGTACTGAGGTTTGGAGCTGAGGTCTGGAGCTGAGGTCTAGTACTGACACCCAGAGCTGAAGTCCGGTACTGAGGCCCGGAGCTGAGGTCTGGCACTGAGGTCTGCAGTTGAGGTTCAGAGCTGAGGCCCGGAGCCGAGGTCCAGTTCTGAGACCCAGAGCTGAGGCCCGGTATTGAGGTCCAGGGCTGAGGCCTGGAGCTGAGGCCCAGTACACTGGTCCATACCTGAGGTCCGGTACTGAGGCTCAGAGCTGAGGTCCAGACCTGAGGCCTGGAGCTGAGGTTCAGGTTTGAGTCTGTTTTGTCAGAAGCACCACCGTGTATCAAACCTGGTTTCAGATTAATAAATGACCAAACATTCTCCAGGGTTCCAATCTGAACCAGGTGGTTCCATTCAGGGCGTGTTTTGGCTCATCAGAGTCCAGATTTCAGCTCAGACCTCAACCCTTCATCGTAAGTTCAAACCATTTGAAGAAAGTGGTTCAGTGTTGGAGCTGGACTGGTACTGGTACTTTTGCTCTCTGTGCTCTCGGTGAAGGTAGACGTGTGTCCTCTTCTGCTCTGTCCCCCAATTTCCCTGTTTTGCTATCTTGTCTTGTGAACCCTTTATAGAGCATCTTTTCTGCATACCTTTCTAATTCGATGGATTTGATCAGCTGGTCTCTCAACGAAATTGATCAACTTCTCCCGACAGGAAGTCAGGGTGAATGGAGGACCCTCTTACCTTGACGGAAACTAAATTAGATTTATGATGACAACTAGATTCTGCGGTTTGGGTTGGTGAAATCTGGAATGTCTACAAATTTGTGTGGAATGTGTCGAAGCTTGGCAGCACTCAGACTGAATTATGTGGAGCTGCATCAGAGCTGAAGCAGGCTGATATCAGGACTGTGAACTTTTGGGCAGCACCCATGAACGGTTGGGAATAATCTTAGAGAAGCTGTAAGATCAACTTTCGGCGTAAATAATCAATTCGGCTGTTTGGCGTCACCATCAGAGAATGTTCTAGCAAGACTTTAAAAGGCAGAAACAGCAATTTATGAGTTCTGCCTGACCCAAACTGTGGATCTGGACCTGGCCTTGAAGGCAGACTATCTCACTTCCTCCTGGGATGTTATGAAAACAAAGACGCTCTGTCTGTCTCCTCACCCCTCCCTTCCCCAAGGCCGTAGACATGTGACAGAACCTCAACCGAGCTGATGATAACAAACACCTCTTATCTGGACAATGGCTGAGGGGGGCTCTGGACTATGCTACAACCTTCCCTTAAAACTCAATGCCTTCACCAGCCTCATATGTATTATGACTATTTATGTTGCTTTGCTGTGGTAGATTTTTTTTATGCCTCAAACCGTGCCCTGTCTATGACATGTTGTGAGATCTTTTTTTAAACCTTCTCTCCTTATGTTTTCTTCCCCTTTTCTCGTCTAAGCCTAAAAGTATTCTGAAAAGCATAAGAGGCCGCACTCTTAAAGAGCAGCAGCTACGTGCACTCTGCCCATCTTTCGGACGACTGTACAGACATACTCTCGTTGTATCTCGGTACATTGATAATAAAGCTTATTCTGATAAAGCTTATTCTGAACCGGTTTGGTATGTGAAAAGCCATCAACAAACATCTCCCAGATGTTCAGACCTCTTTCTGGTGAACTTCTTTAGATCCTGGTTCTCAAAGCAGACCCAGCATAAAGTTCTGTTCCCGCACAATTTACCTACAGAAACAGCTGAAAGGTTTTTATTTACATATAGAAACAACTGAAGGGTTTTTATTTACTTACAGAAACAGCCGAAGGGCTTTTGTTTACCTACATAAACAGCTGAAGTGTTTCTGTTTACATA